GTTTCAGGCCCGATACATCAGCCTTCCTGCTCCTCTGATGCTGCTTGGCCTGCTGTGCTTGTCCAGCTCTACACCTTGTTGTCTCAGATTCTCCAGCATCTGCAGTTCCTACTATCTCTCTTAATAATTATATACTGAGCATTACTACGTTGGTTTGTTTTTTACTTGGGACCTGAGTCTCGTTAATTTTTAAACATTGGAAAATCATTTGGGAAGTGGTGTGGTTGAGGCTCGTAATGGGTCCAGGAAGATAAGGGGTCATTCACATAATCATGGAAACAGATAGAGTAGGTAGAAATAACTTATTCATTGAGGAGTTTTTTTTTTATTCATTCACGGGATGAGGATGTCACTGACTAGACTAGGATTTATTGCCCATCCCAGTTAAGAGTAACCGCATTGCTGTTGGTCTGGAGTCACATGTAATCCAGAGCAAGTAAGGATGGCATTTTCCTTCACTAAAAGATATTAGTGAGGCATGTAATCCAGAGCAAGTAAGGATGGCATTTTCCTTCACTAAAAGATATTAGTGAGGCAGATGGATTTATCCGACAAATTGTTTCTATGACCAAAGTTTGGGACCCTGTGCCTTCAGCTCTCTAGGTACACGAGATCTCAAAGTAGATTGGGCTTTGAAGCATTAAATATGATACCTGTCTGTTGTACCTCAAGTTACTCTCCCCGTCATTTATTTTAAAAAGGTCAATGTTGTTACTTGAGAAAGACAGCATTAAATTTTAAAACATAGGAGGAGAATGGAATTCAGTTAGGTACCTTTTCGTGATGAAAAACACTGGGTTGGATGTATTAGAATAAGTGGTCAGATAATTTACTGCGACATTCTCAAGTCTAGACTTTGCAATTGTTTTTCCAACCCCTTGGTTAAGTCAATCAGTCAGGAGGCAGAAACTATCCCATTATCCATAACACAACTGAAAGGCTCACTTGACAAATTCTAGGTATCATGATATTGAAATCTTGAGGTTACTATTCCAGTTCTAGAGTTGTAGGTTGTGACATCTATCATTCCACAATGCAGTATATTGGAGCATTACTGAGGAAAATCCTTGAAGTGGTCTTTGTCAAAAATGGAACAATACTGACAAACTGATACTTTCATGTTTCTTGACGTAACTACTAAGCAGTAAAACAAGAAATGTCAGAAAGTTCTAAGATGTGCTACGCAATATAATAATAGCATTATGCCCATAAGCAAAATGGCACATGTTCATGTTTCATCTTTGCCAGTGTATTTAGCAATTCCTCAGTGCTTACTGAATTCAGCTGGAGACAATCCAATGTTGGTGGTACAATAGTGATAACATTAGAGGCATGTACACACAGTAGGGAAAAGAATAGCCACTCACTGCCATTCATATAACATCCAAAGGAAAAGTAATTTCCAGTAGTTTCTGTAATTTACTTCAAGCTATCAAGTTATGCCCTTTAAAAATTGACCTTTGGGAATTCAGCAAGCCATTTTTTTCACTTGGAGCAGCTAAATGGCTGAGTTTCCTCTTAACTTTTTGCTCAGAGATTTAATTTTTTTTTGTGAAATGCCACATTTTGCTTAAGTGCTAATGAATAAGATTTCACACAGGAAGGGAGAGACTTTGTCAAAAACCTTATCTAATTTCACGACTTTTTTGCCCCATATCACATGTTCCATGTTCTGTGCTAATTAGAAAATTGGACTAAGACTGCATAGATCTGTTGATTCCTCAGTGACGTTCATGGAATTTGTACAGCATAAAAATAGGGCATTTGGCCCATCATGTTTGCATTGGCTCCTCAAATGAACAATTCACTCAGCACCATTCCCCTTCATCCTCCCCCAACCGTGCATGTTTTTCCTTTTCAGATAAGATCATAGAATCCCTACAGTGTGGAAACAGGCCCTTCAGCCCAACAAGTCCACACCGACCCTCAAAGCATCCCACCCAGACCCATCCCCTATATCCCACCTAAGCTACATATCCCTGAATACTATGGGCAATTTAGCATGGCCAATCCACCTAGCCTGCACATCTTTGGACTGTGGGAGGAAACCAGAGCACCCAGAGGAAACCCACGCAGACACGGTGAGAATGTGCAAACTCCATACAGACAGTTGCCGAAGGGTGGAATTGAACCTGGGTTCCTGGTGCTGTGAGGCAGCAGTGCTAACCACTGAGCCACCATGCTGCCCTAAACTGTTGAACTTCCTGTTGAAAGCCTCAATTGAAGCTGCCTCTATCATATTTTCAGGCACTCCAAATCCTAACCACCTGCTACATTAATAAGAATTTCCTCAAGTCTCTTTTGCTTCTTTTACAAATTACGTTAATTCTATCCATTTTCATTCTCAATGCTTTCATGAATGGGTTGCACCCTATTCTTTCCATTCAGATCCCTCACAATTTGAATACCACTGTCAAATCTCCTCTAAGCCTTCTTTTTTCTAAGGAAAACAGTAACCTATCTTCATAACTAAGTTTCTCATCTCAGGAACCATTCTCGTGTATCTTTTCTGCACAATCTGTAATGCTTGAAACAAAGTTCAGAGCAAGAATATAAAAAAAGACTTTTACTAGTGTTGCTAGGGCATAAAACGTAAAATCATAGAAGCATTAAATTGATAGGATGTGAAATGGATGTCCAAGCCAAACTTTATTCAGTTAACATTGGAGCTTATGTTTCTCAACAGCACTTAATAGTTGGCCATTCATGTAATTTGTGTATTGAATGGAATGGAATGAATCTTTCCTCAGAAATCCATTGATTTGTTGCAAATTCTTTTGAATGATGAACCTCCGTCCAATGACAATTATAATAAATAAGTAATCTGTATCAATGTTTTCACCAGACAATCCATAATTTATATTTTTGACATCTTGCATAAACATCTAGTACTAATTATCTTTAGCTTGTGGTAGATTGGGATCAGCACGAAAGATTCCAGCAAATAATCTACCATTGACAAAACTGCAATGTTTTTGTCACAGAGAGCTGTAGAAGGATGCTGGAAATGGGGGAATGCTGAGGAAATGAGAAGCTGCCGTGTCCCTTCCTCTTGTTGCACTTCCTCCTTACTTTCAGACCGATATCTCTCCATCACAATGTAATTCATATTACTTGAATGAAAATGTGAAGGCTGGTCAGTAGGACACCATTGCCAATCTCACTTGCTCAGGGTGAACAAAATCTCTGGATTAAACTTGTCAAAAACCTTAAAGATCCTGAATATTGCCATTGAAACCCTTTCTCAGTCTCCTCTTCTCTCCTGTAGTTGTTTTTCCCTTGATAGCAGGAGTTAAATGGGAGCTGTGTGATGCGCTCTTAAAGTTCCATAACTTTCTTGCATAATATGGCAACAAGTGTTACACACACTATTCTAAATAAGGATGATTAAATACCTTATTCATCGCATCCTATGATTTGAGTTCTGTTCAACTCACTGTGCAACTCAATATCCTATTAGCCTTACTTATCATGTGGTGCAGATGTTTCAGTTATTGTTTCCAAAACACCCACAATCTTCACTTGAGCTGTAGCCTACAGACATTAGTTTAGAGTTCCAATATTTAATTTCCTTCACAGGTCATTTTCCTTTGTACTGCTTACAGTGAATGAAGTTTTCCACATTTGAGTCCAAACCCAATCTGTTTAGATCGCGCTTCATCTGATCAAAATGTTCCTCATTGATAGTTTATGCAGTATCTCCACTTTATAATCATTGGTTTACAACTTGAAAGCAAGGTCTCAGCACTGATGCTTAGGCTTTTCATAGCCACTTTCTGTCACTTCAACAGAGCTCCATCGTAACTATTCTGTCTACTTAATTTCAACCAGTTGCCAATCCACTTCATCAGAACATAGGACCATATGATGTAGAAGCAGCAGTAAACCAGCCAGCCCATTGAGTTTACTCTGCTATTTAGTGAGATCATGGTTGATCTGATAACCCTTAACTCCACTTTCCTGCCTTTTCCCCATCCCCTTGATTCCCTTATTGATTAAAATCTGTTTATCTCAGCCTTGGAAATGCTTAATGACCCAGCCCTTGACAGCTCTCTGCAGTAAAGAATCCCACAGATTCCCTACACTCTAAGGAAAATAAATCTTCCTCATCTCTGCCTTAAATGAGTGACACCTAAGTTGAAAAAGTTCTCAGCAACTAACTTGTCAGGTCACCGGTCATTCTTTTAAACTCTAAAGAGTACAAGCTCAACCTATTCAACCTCTCCTTCTATGAAAATCCATCCATCCCTGGGATCAAACGAGTGTACCTTCTCTGGGCCGTTTTCATTGTCACCATATCTTCCCTTAGATAAGTGGACAAAAACTGTTCACAATTTTTTAGATGTGGTCTAATTAGTTTTTCTTGCAGTTTTTGCAAAATTTCCTTACTTTTGTACTCTATTCCCTGTGAAATAAAGCCCAACATTCCATTTGTCTTCCCTATTACCTGCTGAACTTGTATGCTTTTTATGATTTATTCATGGGGAATCCCCAAACCCTTACAGCTTTCTGCAGTCTTTCTCCATTTAAATAATTTTCAGCTCCGCTATTCCTCCTGCTAAACGTCATAACCTCACAATTGCTCATATTGTAGTCATTCTGCATGGTTTTTGCCCACACATTTAATTTGTCTATATCCATTTGTAGACTCTTTGTGTCGTCCTCATGACTTAACTTCTCGCATATTTTTGTGTTGTCTGTGAACTTCACCAGCAACCCCACTGTTTTTCTAACCTTCTATACAATAATATACTAAAGGCCCTACTGAAGTTAAGCCATGAAATTCTCTTCATTCCTGATATTTTCTCAAAAAGGTTAGTCAGCATTAACTTTCACCCAGAATGTCTTACTGACTAGCTCTGGTGGTTCCATGTTCCTCTATTTCACTCAAACCTTCTGTCGGAAATCCTCCATCCTCTTAAGGGAAATGTTAGGCTGTACTTTCTTTAGAAGTATTTCTGCCCTTTTCAAATAATAATATACCTCTTGCTCTTTTTCAGGACACCTGCCATGATCGGATGTTCATTTGTGGTGAATAGATTGTTCTTTGGTGAGATTGGCCTGCTGGACCCTGGAATGGATGTTTATGGTGGAGAAAACATAGAACTAGGGATTAAGGTTTGTTGATAACCTCTTTAGAAATTGTTCTTTCTGAATATTGTATGTTTGGACCTCACCAAAGTTCATCATAGTGAAAAATACATCATGTAGAATTGCTGCTAATATCCTCTTTCTTGGTAGGAAATCTGCAGATCCTGGTTGCTCTAGTATATGTAAAGAAAAGTTATTTGGTAGTCTTAACGGAAGAGACATTTACCTTAAATACAATATTGTTTATTGCAAGTAGCAGACAAGAACTAGTTACATTGGCACAATAGACATTGTAACTTACAATGAAGGAGACCTCATTGTTAGGTCTTATTACTTTGAAGTACAAAGCTATTCTCCTGCCTGTGTTAACATTACATCATCACATTGGGTGGTGCTTCATGCAATCCTCAGCATTAACCATTTCAGACCTTTACACCCTTATTCCAACAATGGACTATGAAGAAAGTTCACTTTTTTTCCAATGTAGCCTGTAATCTGACTTGGGCTTACCCAACTGAAAAGCTCATTGTCTATTGACAAGGATAACTTAGCTCTGTATCTTGCAACCTTCGTAAAATTTCATCTCGCTGTTGAAATTCATGAGGTACCAATGGCCGTTGGTCACAAGCATAAAAATTCAGAATACTCAACCACAGAAATGTGTCATATTGCTTCTGCAGTTAGTGCTGGTCATTTATACTGTAAGATTGAAACTTTCTTGCTCACTTCCCATATCTTTTAGAATATTTCTTTTACCTCTTTCTAATTTCCCTTTAGAATAATGTATCAATTGTTTCATCAATGGTTTATGACAGATTTCCACCATTCAATCCATCCTGTGTTTAAAGCGGTATTACTGTCTTACCAAACAATGAAACAACCTAACAGTACTTAGTTCTTCATAATCCTTGATAAATTTGAAGTATCTATCAAGTCACTCTTTGCCTCTTCTGATCCAGTGAACAGAAACCTTGGTTTTCAGATCTTCAAAATTGAACTCCTTATCACTACGAATCTCAATTATCACTTCCATTATTGTTACAACCTCTTATAATGGAGTGCCAAAAACTGTATGTAAAATTTCAGCCGTGGCCTAACTGTTATGTACCAGGTCAACAACATCTCCATGTTTTTATCTGTGTATTGACTGCCTCCAAATACAAAAGCTAAGGGTAAGTATTTCACTTACATAACATTACTTACACTCACTACCCCAGGGAAAGCTGGACAACATTTTTGAATGAGGAAAGCTGTGCAGGTCATGTAGGTAATGATCCAGGAGAAATGGACATGAGTCTGCACGTGCACTACATGAACAAATTTCTCCCCAAAGACTCCATTTGCATTTGGACAGACTTATATTAATACATTTACTGTCACCTTTATTGACCTATGTAGTTGGACACCAAAACCCTTCAACTCTAGTTTAAATTTGACTATTTAATATAGCTGACTTCTCCCTAATCACGCACACAAAATATATTCTTTTAATATCATGTATATAAACAAAAAGACAATAGATCACAAAATATTTATGACCTGGTGACCCAGAAAGTTTTATTTGATTTATTTCCCTTATCACAGTGTAACTTTATAAAATGTAAAGCTGTCGTGCCTTCATCTGTTTAAAGATTTTATGCAAAATAAAAACTTCTGAGCCTTCTATCCTAGTTTTGTAAATCTGCTTTTGGGGGAAAGCAGATCCTTAAATTATTAGTTTACATTATCATCCATCATTGATTTCCACAATATCAGAATGATAAACCCCTTGTGTTCAGATACAGTACATCATTGCTGTGAGGTCAAACCCAATCAATCTCATTGTTAAGCATGTTAGTCAAACAATCTAGGATTTTCTTATATCTATGAGGTAATAGCTTTTATACATTACAGATGATAACACTGAGAATTTTGCCTTGGGGACGTCAGTGGATGAATACTTAATGCTTTCCAATGGACAACCTCTGCTAATTCTGCTGATAACCTAAAATTCTGAATTAATAGATTAATACCTTCCCTAAAATATTGGACAACTTTCATAATCAAAAGGTCTTAAATATTTATCTATTATTATTACCAATGTTCATTTCTGGTTTATTATGAGTAGTCTGGAGTATGAACGAAATAGTTTTAGTAATTGTCAATTTTACATCCTTCTAATGCATCCAATGCAGATATGATGTAACATACTTTGTGAGTCTGAACAAGAGAGTTGTGGATGGAATGTGTCATCTTTTAACTTAATTCTAAGGATAATCAATATGTGTAATTTATCGTGCTTTATTAACAAATGAGTCACTTCTGAGGCTGGATACTTTATGGAATATTGCTAATTGTCATTCAGTTAGAGAGGAACCTACAACTGATGAGGAAATAGTGCTTATGTTTTCCTGCTTATGTTTCCAATCATAAGTACTTAAAGATTTGTGGGTTCGATGGTGCTGCGAAGGTGAGATAGTGTGCACGTTTTGAGTGTGAGTGGATTTCAAACTTTCTCTCCCTGGATGATTTCCAGATTGTCCCCCTCAGCTGCAGTCTGTCCTACAGAAGATTACCTTAGGCAGCAAGTGACTTGAGATTCCAAAGTCACACGGAAGACCAAAGACTTTGACTCATTTATGATAACTGACTGTCAGTGTCTGAGTGAAAAGCAAGAGGCTACAAAATGCTCTCACTGTTCAGATGTTGGAATAGAATAAATCAGCACAAAGCATCTCAGATTAGGGATCATTTTGTGAAATCAGGCTTTATTAATCTGAGACAACAAGGTGCAGGGCTGGATGAACACAGCAGAGCTCCTATGATGCTGCTTGGCCTGCTGTGTTCATCCAGCCCTGCACCTTGTTGTCTCGGATTCACCAGCATCTGCAGTTCCTACTATCTCTGATTCAATTTTATTAATCTGAGCCTGAAGTACTCCTTGAAAGAGCAGTACGTATTATCTGTACTGTTATTTGCTGGTTAATACATAAAAGCACATTGATGGTGGGTGGAAAGCAGTATCTGCATATATTTTGGGCTCTTTCATGATGTTTGTCCAAAGCATCAGTCTGATAATTGATCTTCTTCTGTCAAAGAGAAACAAGAGCTCAGTAAATGTAACTGATGTGAACAGTCACTAGGCTGGACTGGGGAGCTTCAATATCCAGAATGTTCTGGATATTGAAGCTCAGATCTGAGATCTTGGCTACAAAGGATATTAGGGAATTTTACATTTTGCCAGAACTGATTGGTAAAAAGTACCCAAAATACACACAACATTTACAGTGAGAGGATTTGAACCTGTCAATCCCAAAAGCAGAGGTTTTCAGTTGGAGCAGGTCAAACTGTGCAGCAGCAGGCTGTTTAGAATGATCACCACAGCTCTCTAGAAATGTGTACCTTCTCTTGTGGTCTTAATATATCTAGCCCTTACTCCTTTACAGCCCATCACCCTGCCCAAGGCTCATTATACTTTTGTACCAACTCATGCCCTCCAAGCATGCCATACTTCTTTATATTCTCTGTGCCAGTTCAACACCACCCAAGCCATCCCCATGCTCCACTTAAACTCGCTGTGCTAACTCAAACACCTCCTTTTCATTCACACATTATGTGCATAGCTAAAGAGCAGAACCGCTGAGAGAAAGAAAAGTTCATAGATCATCTTTCGAAAATAAAACTGCTGTTCATAGAACACTATAATAGTGGCAATCAGACACACCATTAATGTATCAATAAAAATACAATGCACGCCTCTTAATCTTGTCCAAATTAACAATGAGACATTAAGAAATTATATTACAGAAAAAACATGTAACTATTTGAAGATGTCAATTAAGCAAAGTCAACAATTCATTTTAGAGCTAATAATTATATTGATTTGGACATAGTTGAGCAGGCACAATCCTAGAACTGGGTCTCGAGCACCCTTTTTAAATATCTCTAGAATCAATCCAATTCCATGAAAATCTCGCGCTGGGAACTGCTGGCTGATGTCAATGGGTTACATATCAACAGATTTTCAACTTACAGCTGCCTTCTGAGAAATCAGCTTTGCTCAATGGTTGCACTAGCACATCTGAGTTGGAATATTGTGTTCAACCTCATGCCAAGGCTAGACTGACAGCACGTTCAGTATTGTGGGAGTGTTTAGGTTTTAGGTTAGATGTTAGGCCTGGAGCATGCCCACCTAGTGATAGGGATATAAGAAATCCCATGGCACAGATATAATAAACAGAACAGATAAAAGGAAAAAAAAGATAATTTTTGTTTGGATTTCCAAAACAAATTAATAAGGTGGCACACAAAAGGTTACTACACAAGAGCTCATAATTTTAGGGATAATAATATTAGCATGGATGGATGATTTACTAGCCAACAAACAGATATTTGGGTCATTTTTAAGTTTGGACACTGTAACTAATGGGATACCACAGGGCTCAGTACTGGGGCTTCAATTCTTTACAATTTATAATAATTCTTGAGCAAAATCAGTGTATTGTAGCTAAATTTGCTAATGGCATAAAGCAGGAGAGAAAGTTGTGAGGCAGACGCAATGGGTCTGCAAAGGGATATGTAAAGGTTGGCCTGAATTTCTATGAGATAACTAAGACTCTGCTCCTTATGCGAAATGGCACTGAGGCCCCGATACTGGAATTCCAGCTGCAATTTATGACAGATCCTGCTTTAGCAGATAATGGAAAAGTAATGAAAGTACAGTATGTCAGAAATGGGAACAGGATGTGGGAGATATCCAAACATAGGAGAGCCATTTCATTCAGTGCTGAGTTCAAAATAACTGTATTTTTAATAAAGTAAGGTATTTATCCAGCAATGTATGACTTTGTTTTTTTAGAGTGGACATAAATGCTCATAAATGGCACATAAGAGCTGTGGAATTGTCAAGCTGTCATATTATTTAAACCCCCTGCGCTTAAAATACAAGCCTGTTGATCTTTGAGTTAAAGGAGAAATATTTGCAGTCTCAATAGTTGAACATATTTGTTGAACATAATGGGTTATCATTATAGCATTATTACTGCTTG